GGCCATATGACAGAACACCATCTCGCCTCAGTACCAAAGAGGGTAGTGATACCGCCTTTATGTTTACAGAATATTCTGAAGAGCAGCTGAGATCACTGCGAAAGCACTTCATACACGATAACCACTGTATAAATGCTAGCTCTTGGTCACTAGATAGAGGGGAAGAGCAGGAATTTTAAGTCAGAGGGCCAGCCTGTGGAGTGGTGGGTAAGATAGTTGGTTCCCACATAGCCAACTCTGTGGTTTGAGTCCCAGACCCAGCAGCTTGAAAGACACACCAGGAATGTGTACATGCATGCCCAAAATCCTGAGAGGAGAAGGGAGGAGAAAGAGTTGCGCCATGACCATCCCTCCTGGGGGTGCTTTTTAAAAAATAATTATTTAATTTATTATTATTATTATTATTATTATTATTTCTGGGACTTGAACTGCAGTTGGCCATGTGGGGTCCAGCACTCTAACCATGTCACCTGCTGACCCCTAGGGGATGCTTTTTAACTTTCTCTCTCTCTCTCTGGCAAGTGCACATGCCCTATGTCCATTTTTTTTTTTTAAAGGAAAGAATTCAAAGTCAGAGACTTGGTCTGCAGTATCAGGTTGAGTAGGCAGTCTGCTGCTTTCAGCCTTGGTCTCCCCATCTCTAGAGTGAGGAAAATGACAGCGAGGGCTTCAGAAGAGCTGAGCCCCTGGCCTATGGATTCCACCTTAGAGTCAGTGCAGACCTCACCCAGCTCCCTCCCACAAATCTGCCACAGACCAGCAGCCACATTCGGGACTCCTTCAGTTTGCAACCCAATGTCACATGCTGGCCAGCCCTTCTCAGAGACCGAGGCATCCCCAGTCACTGTGTTGTGAGGATGAAATGAGAAAAAGAGTGGGGTGTCTTGTCCAGAGCCCACGCCAGGCGGTACTCAGTAAATACTCCTTTTCTGGCTGTAGTCTCCTAGTCCTCCTCCCGGCACCTCCACACACACTGCCTCTGGGAGTCATAAACCCTGTAACTGAATTCCTTGCAGCCGTAAGAGGTTTCACAGCAACTTTATTCTCCAGGAGAGAGGTGGAACAGCCCCCTCCCTTCTGCATGAAGGGAGGGGGCAGTCAGAGGCCTGTTTAATTTAATTTAACGCACTGTGGCTTGCCAGGTTGCCCCTGGTAACAGCTTCAGCTGCTGCTTCAGTTACAACCAGAAGGATTTTTAAAGAGACAGCTCAAGTTAGGGCCAGAATTGTACAGCAGAGTGAGCAGCCTCCACCCGCTTCACCATAGGAAGAGAACATAAAGGCCAGGCACAAGGCATATCCTGTTAATTTCACTCCATATCCCCTGACCCCATCTGCACCCCCACAATCCCTCCTGCAATGTCACTCTCAAGTGAGATCTGAAGATTGGGATTTGTCATGCAGATGTCATTCAGCTAGTTACTTTTGGGGAAATCAGCTAGTTACTTTTGGGGAAAATCAGTGTTAGTCTTCAAGTTGAGGGGAAGGAGGAGCGAATTTATTCTTAGGAATTGCCCCTGCAAATCAGGCATTCTGCCACCAGGTGGTGGTATTGCTTGCTTACTGAAAATCATAACCAGGCTATCAAATTACTCAAGAATAGGACCAGAGAGCAGAGTGGTCTTGAGACCATCGGGTTTTAAGTCTTGTTGTCAACAAGGGTGGGCTCTCAGATAAGCCTCTTTACCACTCTGGTCTCAGTGTCCTCAGATATATAATGAGATCAGTTAAGATAACTGAGTGTTGTGGACAGGCTTGGGGCTAGGACAATGGAGGCATGGGTTTGAGTCTAGCTCTGTCATGTCTTACTGTGTGGTTTAGGGACATCATTAAACTTACTACAGCCTGAGTACCAAACAAGAAAATGGCTTCGAACCATGGAGAGCACTGAGGACAACACTGTCTCTTGACACTGGAGACCTTGGAGGCAAGGAAGGAGTGTGGGACCCCACAGGGCACTGACACAAACAGAAGGATTTTTAAAGAGACAGCTCAAGTTAGGGCCAGAATTGTACAGCAGAGTGAGCAGCCTCCACCCGCTTCACCATAGGAAGAGAACATAAAGGCCAGGCACAAGGCATATCCTGTTAATTTCACTCCATATCCCCTGACCCCATCTGCACCCCCACAATCCCTCCTGCAATGTCACTCTCAAGTGAGATCTGAAGATTGGGATTTGTCATGCAGATGTCATTCAGCTAGTTACTTTTGGGGAAATCAGCTAGTTACTTTTGGGGAAAATCAGTGTTAGTCTTCAAGTTGAGGGGAAGGAGGAGCGAATTTATTCTTAGGAATTGCCCCTGCAAATCAGGCATTCTGCCACCAGGTGGTGGTATTGCTTGCTTACTGAAAATCATAACCAGGCTATCAAATTACTCAAGAATAGGACCAGAGAGCAGAGTGGTCTTGAGACCATCGGGTTTTAAGTCTTGTTGTCAACAAGGGTGGGCTCTCAGATAAGCCTCTTTACCACTCTGGTCTCAGTGTCCTCAGATATATAATGAGATCAGTTAAGATAACTGAGTGTTGTGGACAGGCTTGGGGCTAGGACAATGGAGGCATGGGTTTGAGTCTAGCTCTGTCATGTCTTACTGTGTGGTTTAGGGACATCATTAAACTTACTACAGCCTGAGTACCAAACAAGAAAATGGCTTCGAACCATGGAGAGCACTGAGGACAACACTGTCTCTTGACACTGGAGACCTTGGAGGCAAGGAAGGAGTGTGGGACCCCACAGGGCACTGAAACAGGCTTCAGTGAACAAACCAGCTGCCTGGAGAACCCAGAGCCCACTCAGCTCTAACCCAAAGCAGGAGAAAGGAAAGAAACCTTCACTCTGGGTCAGGCATTGCCCTCACTGCTTGAGAGGCCCTGTTAATACCCACATGTGCAGATGAGGACTCAGTCTCCACGGGGTAACCCACCTCCAGGGTTGCCTGTCTGTTGGACACCCGAGCTCTACTCTGCATTACGGCCCGAGCCCAGTGCACTGCCCTCACGTGTGGCTGCACCCCCC